GGCGTGGACCATGCCTGGGAAGCACAGAGAAAAGGTAAGTGTAGATAAACCCTAGAACCTGGGAGACCAGGGTTCAAATTCCCACTTGGCTATAAAGCTCACTGGGTGACCTTGGGTCAGTCAAATTCTCTCAGTCTAACTTACCTCACAGGGTTGTTGTGAGGACAAAATGGGGAGGATGAAAATTATGTGTACTACCTTGGACTCCTTGCAGGAAAGGCAGGTTAAAAATGCAATCAGAAAAACAGTAAGTAATCCATCTTATCTCTCTCGCCCTGACCTAGCCACTGTGATCCATGCGACGGTCACCTCCAGACTGGATTATTGTAACTCGCTCTACGTGGGGCTGCCCTTGAGACTGACCCAGAAACTCCAGCGGGTGCAGAATGCCGCGGCGAGACTCCTTATGGGGTCTTCGCTGCGAGATCACATTCATCCGGTACTATACCAGCTGCACTGGCTCCCGGTGGAGTACAGGATCAGGTTTAAGGTGCTGGTTTTAACCTTTAAAGCCCTATACGGCCTAGGACCCTCGTACCTACGGGACCGCCTCTCCTGGTATGCCCCACAGAGAAACCTAAGGTCTGCAAATAACAACATCCTCAAGGTCCCAGGCCTCAGAGAGGTTAGGCTGGCCTCAACTAGAGCCAGGGCCTTCTCGGCTGCGGCTCCAACCTGGTGGAATGCTCTGTCACAAGAGACTAGGGCCCTGCGGGACCTGACATCTTTCCGCAGGGCCTGCAAGACAGAGTTGTTCCACCAGGCCTTTGGTCAGGGCGCAGCCTGACTCCCTCCTCTGGCAACCTGCACAGAATTTTGCCTAATCGGTTGCCAACAATTTGATTTTAATTAATTTTATAATGAAATGTTTTTAGAATGTTTTTAGAATTTGACTGTTTGACTATTTGACTGTTGTTAGCCGCCCTGAGCCCAGCTTCGGCTGGGGAGGGCGGGATATAAATAAAAATTATTATTATTATTATTATCTGACTGGGATTCTGAAGTAGAGAATGAGTGAATATGTCAATATCACTCTAAAATGCTACTGAATTTTCATGAGGGTTTAAGAACTGGACTTAAGACTGGAGAAGCTGGAATTTACAGGTTCTCCCATGTCTTGTCTTGTAGTTAATCCTATATTCTGCATTCTCAACCCTCTTAGTTTCACTGACAAAAATGAAAAGGAGGTAGTAAAATGTCTTATCCAGTCCCCTCTTGTGCTAGGCACAGAAATACTGGTGTGACCCAATTCCTCTTTGCACACCCTGTATTATTATTATTATTATTATTATTATTATTATTATTATTATTATTATTATTTCTATACCACACTATACCTGAAGGTCTCAGGGCGATTCACATAAATATCAAATACATAAAATCAAAACCAAAACAACAACCCAATAACACGCCCCCCCCCAAAGAGCCAGCATTTTTAAAAGGGTATAGGAAGTAGATCAAGTCAGGCAAAGGCCTGGTTAAAAATGAATGTTTTTGCCTGGTGCGTAAAGGTGTATAATGAAGGCGCCAGGTGAACTTCCACAGACAGGGATCAACTGCAGAGAAGGCTGTGTTGCCACCCTCCGGACCTCTTGAAGAGGAGGCACATGAAGAAGGGCCTCAGAAGATGATCTCAGGGTCTGGGTGGGTTCATATAGGAAGAGGCAGTCCTTGAGGTATTGTGGTCCTGAGCCGTTTAAGGCTTTATAGGTCAAAACCAGCACTTTGAATTGGACCCGGAAACTAATTGGTAGCCAGTGCAGTTGGACCAGGATTGGTGTAATATGCTCAAACCGTCTTGCTCTGGTGAGCAACCTGGCCACTGAATTCTGCAACAGCTGAAGTTTCCGAACCGACTTCAAAGCCAGCCCTATGTATAACGCATTGCATCTGGTAAGCATAGGCAACAGTACTTAGGCTATCCCTCTCCAAATAGGGGCGTAGCTGGGCCACTAGTCGAAGCTGCTGGAAGGCACCCGGGCCACTGAGGCCACCTGAGCCTCAAGTAACAGCAAAGGATCCAGGAGTGCCCCCAAGCTACGAACCTGCTCCTTCAGAGAAAGTGTAACCCCATCAAAAACAGGCGATCTCCCACCCATCCGGTCTAGGAAACCACCCACTAACCCGCCCTCAGTCTTATCTGGATTGAGTTTCAGTTTCTTGGCTCTCATCCAGTCATTACTGAGGCAAGGCACTGGTCCAGCACTTCCACTGCCTCACCTGCAGATGTAAAGGGGAAATAGAGCTGAGTGTCATCAGCATAACACTGACAACATACTCAAACCTCCGGATAACCCCACCCAGCAGTTTCATGTAGATGTTAAACAACATGGGGGGTAGAATTGAGCCCTGTGGAACCCCACATTGAAGGTTCCATGGGGCTGAAAAGCAGCCTCCAAGTAACACCCTCTGGATGTGGCCATCCAAGTAGGACTGGAACCACTGCAAAGCAGTGCCACCCACTCCTAGTTTGGAGAGTTGCTCCAGAAGGATATCATGATTGATGGTATCGAAAGCCACTGAGAGGTCGAATTAACAGGGACATGTCTCTCTTGACAGAGGTCATCATAAAGGGTGACCAAGGCGGTTTCTGTGCCAAAACCAGGCCTAAACCCCAATTGAAATGGATCTAGAAAATCAGCTTCTTCCAAGAGCACATGGATCTGGTCTGCGACCACTCAGTCCAGAACCTTCTATGGAGATGCCAGTAACTCAGATACAGCCAATGCAGGCCACACGCCTTTTATTTATTTTAGATTGTATTCTCCCTCATCTCCCTCATCTCAGATGTTGACAGCTGGTAAGAATATTTTTATTAAAACAACAAGATGCAGAGGCAGATACAGTATGTTTTAACAGCTTCCCCCTTGAGAAGAGAAGAAGAAGAGTTTGGATTTGATATCCCGCTTTATCACTACCCGAAGGAGTCTCAAAGCGGCTCACAATTCTCCTTTCCCTTCCTCCCCCACAACAAACACTCTGTGAGGTGAGTGGGGCTGAGAGACTTCAGAGAAGTGTGACTAGCCCAAGGTCACCCAGCAGCTGCATGTGGAGGAGCGGGGAAGCGAACCCGGTTCCCCAGATTACGAGACTACTGCTCTTAACCACTACACCATACTGGCTCTCCTCTAGCTGGTCCTCAAATGCCTGTGCAATCAGAAAAGATGCTAACAGTCACACCTGAAATTGAAAGTGCCATGGTTCCTTCCAGTGTGACCGAAAAAAGAAAAAGGAGGTGGGAAACCCATCAGCCAAACATTTCAGGCCATACATTATGCAAAAGGCAGCACGCACTCAATCAGGGAGAAGCAGGACTTCATTAATGTCATGGATGAAAGTCAGGTTGATAAATGGCATCATCATTTTAACCAAGGCCATTGGGAGCTCTTTTATTAGTGCTTAGAATATTTTTTTTAAGCCATAGAGAAGTCAGAATCGACAGCAGAGAAGATGGGATACTGACATCCTGTTATCATAGTGGATTTATTAGAGCCAGGCTGTTCAGTTTAGCTACAATTATAACACACACACACACACACACACACACACACACGTATCATCTATCTATCATCTCTCTCTCTCTCTCCCCCCATTCATCTATCTATCATCTATCTATATCTATCTCTATCTATCATCTATCTATCTATCTATCTATCTATCTATCTATCTATCTATCCTATCTATCTATCTATCTATCATCTATCTATCTATCTATCTATCTATCTATCTATCTATCTATCATCTATCTATCATCTATCTATCTATCTATCTATCTATCTATCTATCTATCTATCTATCTATCTATCTATCTATCATCTATCTATCATCTATCTATCTATCTATCTATCATCTATCATCTATCTATCATCTATCTATCATCTATCTATCTATCTATCTATCTAATCTATCATCTATCTACCTATCTATCATCTATCTAATCTATCTATCTATCATCGTCATCTATCTATCTATCTATCTATCTATATCTATCTATCTATCTATCATCTATCTATATCTATCTATCTATCATCTATCTATCTATCTATCATCTATCTATCATCTATCTATCATAATCTATCATCTATCTATCATCTATCTATCTATCTATCTATCTATCTACTATCTATCTATCTAATCTATCTATCATCTATCTATCTATCTATCTATCTATCTATCTATCTATCTATCTATCATCTATCTATCTATCATCTATCTATCTATCTATCTATCTATCTATCTATCTATCTATCATCTATCATCTATCTTTCATCTATCATCTTCTACTTTCCCACTTACCAGCGTAGGGGCTTAAGGTGCCTATAAATGTGACACACCAACTGCAGCAGTTACTGGACAGAGACCATTTATCTACAATGATCCATGCACTGATAATATAAAGGGTGGACTACTGCAGTTTGATTTTATGTAGGGTTGCCTTGGAGGTTGGTCCAGAAACTGTGGCTAGTGCAGAATGCTGTGGCACAGCTGTTGGGCTTTAAAACATGCTTTTAAACGCATGGCATGTACACAGCCTTCCTCTCTATGTTTCCCATTCCTCCAAGCAGCAGCCAACACAGAGGAGCAGAAAGAAGGAAATAGGAAACCAACAGCATGGAGCCATCCCATCACACATTTTGCATTATTAAAAATCCCAAGGGCAAAAGGACGAGGCAGTGCAAAAGCCATGCATTCTCTATCACTGTCCTGTGCTGGTCCTTGGAGCAGCAAGGCAGTGATGCACATTGGTGGTCACACCAAGGAGAGCTGAGAGTTTTTGGCCTCAGTGTCCTGACCACCCCTTCTATGCTCCCACTTCCTTTGGGGAGAAGGAGAGTTTCAGCCCTCTGGCCTGAAGATGGATGCTTCTCCTACACCCCATGCCCTCACGCCTACTGTGCTGTCTGCACCATTGGAATGTGCATTACAAAACAGGCAATCACAACCATAAAGCTACAGGAATTAATCCTGTACTAACCAAGCAAGAATTAGTGGCACATTACCTTCCTCTTGGCTTTCAGCTGCTCGTGATATTTGTCAGATGTATCACCAGGGATCTCTCCGCCCCAAAGGGTAATTCCAACGATTGTGTAAGTGATACCCATGACAAGCAGTGGGAAACAATAGACAAGGGCGATCACAATGACGTGGTACCTGCAAGAGAGCAGCACTGAACTGATGCATTCTTGGAGAAGGACCCTTCAGAAGTTAAGCATCTGGTTGTCTTGGTAAAAACAACCAGGCTTCATTTGAAGGATAGGGAAACATGGGCAGTGTGCCCATTCAGCATTAGGAATAGTATACTAATTTCTTTTTCACACACATCCCTTCATCTTGTGTGTAGGGAACAAGAAAGGGAAAAGAACTTCCATCCAAGCTAGGGGAGGTTGGTTACTTTGGGTGAATGGGTCACTGCACCACCAACCTTGGTCTGTCCTCAGCCATGCCTACCTTCCTAGGGAGGCTGTAAGCTTCCTTTTCCTTAGTCAGAGGCTATACCTTTAAAGCACACCTGAAGCACTTTCTCTGCACCTTCCCATAAGGTTGCCAGGGACAGATTACTCTTCTTAGCAGTCTGAGCTTCCAGAGCTGTTGAAATATGGCTAAGGGCTGCCCAGGGTTGTGTATGGCCCTGGGACAAATGTTTGCCCACCTATGATCTAAGGATATGTTTGATCCTATAGGAGCTCCTTCTTGACACCTGAGGTCTTCTGATGAGGGCCTGCAGTTGCTGGAGACAACTTCCCAGCTGACATTGCATCCATGGCAACAGAAATGATGAAGGAAGGCCACTCGTTTTCCTCCTTTACCCCCACCTCTCCACTAAGGACTTTCACTATTAATTCAAGCTATGAGCTACGCAATCTTTGCTTTGGTCCAGCACAATAGGCTATGCTCTTAGGAGGCCCACACAACAACAGCAAAGCATGCAAAAGTGCATTGCCATTTAAAGCGCGACTTACGTAAATCGCTGTTTCATGCCGCCTGGCCACGAAACGTAGCACAAAGTCCTTGCGGGCATCACATTCGTCTTGGAAAAGAGGCACTGTGGCAAGGCAAGCAGGAACGCCAGAATCCATATGCTTGCAATTACCACTTTCGTAGCTGTGGCAGACAGTCTAGGTTTTAAGGGGTCAATAATAGCCATATATCTGTGGAAACAAAATTGGTAGAAAACATTACAAAATCAGGAATGGTGTGACTGCTTTCTTTTTCATACAATACAATGCAGGAAATGAAAATGACTCTCTCGCCACTCCTCAGTGGTTGGGCAGTAGGATGGCTACAGTGCCGCAAGGCAGAAGATAAATAACTGAAGGCTCCCATGATCCCAAAGTAATAACGCACAGAGGAACTGCCCAGTAAGTCGCCCATTTGATTCATTGTTCAGGCCTTTCATCTTTCCGTTTCCCCTGCAGAGGAGTGATTATGTCTTGCCTTGACATTGCCTGGGACTGGATCCTCTTGACTCAGCAGAAGCCTCAGCATGCTCCCTACAGACATGTCCATAGGGTCATGTGTAACACAGCTGCTCCATTCATTGGAATGTATGTGTATATGCTTGACTCATGTAATCACCCCTCTCTCACAAAAAAAGTAATGGAGGCAGAAGATGGCTCAAATCACACCCACCAATGTACAGTGGGTGTACCAATGCCCATACAATTACTAGAGCTCCCTGGGAAGAGGGAACTTCTTTTCTTAACATTCTTCTCTTCTTTTCTTTTGGCTTCACATGGTAACTTCCCCGTTTGCTATTTCAAGATCAAGATGCCTTTCTTCCTTTTTTTTCATTACCTCTGAACATTTGCGCAACAGGCAGATTTTTATTCCAGTTCGTTTTAGTGTTTTTATGTATCATTTTTTATGATGTTCATAAAGCATCAAGGCCCTTTTGTGCATTCGCTCTTGTCTACGTTGCTGTTGACAGCAGAACTGGTGTTGGTGGGGCACTAAATCTAAGCGATGGAACAAGCTGTATTATTCTCCATACTACCTTGTAAATATATATGGGGTAGATCATGATAGTTCAAAGGATGGTAATTGGTTCTGTGTTTGTAATCACAAGTGCCCGCCTATCTGGCTAGACTTGGCAGACCACATAGAACCACCTGTTGCAGGATTGTATAATAAACAGCTATTACCCTGATCAAACTCTAACAGAGCTGAATGTCTATTCAATGTCCATTCTAGAATCTACTGGGACATTTTTTTAAAAAAAGATGAGGTGAGCAAAATTTCAGATTTTTATACAGTTAAATTAAGGGAAACCTATTCTGGGTTAAACCACAGAGCCTAGGACTTGCCAATCAGAAGTTCGGCAGTTCGAATCCCCGAGACGGGGTGAGCTCCCGTAGCTCGATCCCTGCTCCTGCTAACCTAGCAATTCGAAAGCACGTCAAAGTGCAAGTAGATAGATAGGTACCGCTCCGGCAGGAAGGTAAACGGCATTTCTGTGCGCTGCTCTGGTTTGCCAGAATCATGCTGGCCACATGACCCAGAAACTGTACACGGGCTCCCTCGGCCAATAAAGTGAGATGAGCACCACAACTCCAGAGTCGGCCACGACTGGACCTAATGGTCAGGGGTCCCTTTACCATTACCTTTTTACCAGTTTGCAATGCTGGTACAGTTGGAACTTGGACAAAGTCTTGCCCATTCATTGGAAATTTGTCCAACTGGTCCAAAGTATCAGTCCTGGAAAAGATGTTGAATAGCTTCCAATGGGGTCTGTGTTTCTCCAGAGGAGGAAATGTAGCCCATGCTTTGCAGGTGGAGGGTTGCCAGTTCAATTCCTAGCATCTCCAGTTAAAAGGGGTACATGTTTCCATCACCTCAGCCCAAGACCCTGGAAAACAGCTGTCACTCAGGTGGACAAGATGGGCTAGATAGACCAATTGTCTCTCACCTGGTGTAAGGACGATACCTGCAATCCTATGGGAAACCTTTTCCTGTCTTGTTTCTATTGTTACATTTGTGTCTCACTCTTACTCATCCACTGTCACTTACCCCACCCTATTGCTAGGCACGATGCACCCACCTCATAAGAGAGAACCTGATGTGGGTTGCTGATTCCCTCTTTCCCTGGCCAGGAGATGGAAGGAGCAATGAATGAGAGGGTGCTGACTTCTAGCAACTCTAGCTCATCACAGGGCACTAGGCAAATAGCTATTATGATTATTTTTTTGCAATGCAACCCCTCTGTTTTCTTACCCTAAGGAATATTATCACTTTTGTACATACAGTGGTACCTCAGGTCAAGTACTTAATTCGTTCCGGAGGTCTATACTTAACCTGAAACTGTTCTTAACCTGAAGCACCACTTTAGCTAATGGGGTCTCCTGCTGCCGCTGCGCCGCCGGAGCACAATTTCTGTTCTCATCCTGAAGCAAAGTTCTTAACCTGAAGCACTATTTCTGGGTTAGCGGAGTCTGTAACCTGAAGCGTATGTAACCTGAAGCGTATGTAACCTGAGGTACCACTGTACCTGTTTGTGTAGTAACCTTGAATTGCAAACTGTGCTATAAGACAGGTAACAAAGAAAGATTTCAGCCCTGATTACTTCACGAGTCAATTATTTAAGACACATGGGTGAACAAGCATTTCGTTTGGATGAGATGATACACATTTGGGACATGTGCTTTAATTGGATAGATGGTTATTTCAACATTCTGTTGCTGATCCTTCAAGGAAGTTGTTCAGGAGTGGGGGAAACACACATGTCCCAAGCACATGCAATCTCTGTTCGCCTCTACCAGTCAGCAACCTAATCTCACAAATTAAGATTCCTATTCTTATTAAGGTAAAGGTACCCCTGCCCGTACGGGCCATTCTTGACAGACTCTAGGGTTGTGCGCTCATATCACTCTAGAGGCCGGGAGCCGGCGCCGTCCGCAGACACTTCCGGGTCACATGGCCAGTGTGACATCGCTGCTCTGGCGAGCCAGCACCAGCGCAGCATACGGAAAGCCGTTTACCTTCCCGCTATAAAGCGGTACCTATTTATCTACTTGCACTTTAAGGGTGCTTTCGAACTGCTAGGTGGGCAGGAGCTGGGACCGAACGGCGGGAGCTCACCCCGCCACGGGGATTCGAACCGCCGACCATACGATCGGCAAGTCCTAGGCACTGTGGTTTTACCCACAGCGCCACCCGCATCCCCTTCCTATTCTTATTAGGTAGCAGAAAACAAAAGTTCCACAGACTCATTACTGTAAAGAGTGGCAGGAGAGAACTTTGTTGTGAGTTGCACACTGGAGGGAAATAAAACAAATAGTCCATAAAATGGTGTCTTGTGAAAAAAAGATTTTAAGAAGGCATATTAGAGAAAGATAATCTTTTAGTACCCATCTCTTTGGAAATATCATTTGCAGAAAACACTGTAAGACAATGACTTTCTATGGAAACCCAGGAGAAATAATCAGCTCAGGTTTCCCACAGTTTTAGCAATATAAACATCAAGAACATCTGTGAAATTACATTGTTTCAGTCCCAGCATAACCACAGGACATAAAACTGTGCAAGTGTGTGAGGCTTGGATGTCATTTCAGAAAAAAATGAACATTAACTTAGGTATAAAAGTAAAGGTAAAGGGACTCCTGACCATTTGGTGCAGTCGTAACTGACTCTGGAGTTGCGGCGCTCATCTCGCTTTACTGGTCGAGGGAGCCGGCGTACAGCTTCCGGGTCATGTGGCCAGCCTGACTAAGCCACTTCTGGCGAACCAGAGCAGCGCACGGAAACACCGTTTACCTTCCCGACGGAGCGTTACCTATTTATCTACTTGCACTTTGACGTGCTTTCGAACTGCTAGGTTGTCAGGAGCAGGGACCGAGCAATGGAAGCTCACCCCGTCACGGGGATTCAAACCGCCGACCTTCTGATCAGCAAGTCCTAGGCTCTGTGGTTTAACCCACAGCGCCACCCGCGTCCCTAACTTAGGTATAGGAAGTAGAAAAATCTGGAAGAAAAATGCATGGGCACCCCCCTCCGCCCATCAAGTAGCCTGTAGCAGAACACATGTTCTGCATGCAACACATCCCAGGTTCAATCTTTGGCATCTTATGATAGGACTGGGAAGGTCTTCTGCATGCTATCCTGGAGAGCTGCTGCTAGTTAATGTAGGGCTGATGCAGGGTCCATCCACACCTCCATTTGCCCTTCAGCCTTTCCCTGGAAAAACCTGGGCTTTACTGCTGAATCAGACCAAAAGTTACAGTGCCTGCTGTGGCTGTAGAGACTGATATGGGAGAGATATGTTTTATTGCAGCTGGGGCAGATGAAGGCATCCTGTTTTGCTGCTGCAGATGCACCATGGTGTTTCTTCTCTCTCCGCTCCTCCCAGCAGTTATCCCTCCTCTGGTCACTGTTTCGGATGCACAACCTGACTGTCTGTCTCCAGGCGCTGCAGTCGTCTGTGAGGGATTCCCACGCAGTGGAGTTGATCTTGCCAGCCATCGTGTCATGTTTGCAGACCTCTTTGCAGTGCAGAGTTGGTCTGCCAATGAGCCCGGTGCCTGAAGCCAGCTCCCCATAGAGCATGCCCTTGGAGATCCTTCTATCTTCCATTTTGTGGACATGACCAAGCCAGCATAGATGTTGCCAAGACAGGAGTGTGAGCGTGCTGGGAATGTTTGTTTGGGAGACAACATCTTTATTTGAGACTCTGGCCTGCCATGCGATGCCCAAAAGCTTCCTGACACAGCACATGTGGAAAGTGTTGAGGCATTGCTCCTGGCAGTTATAAGTTGCCCCATGACCCACTTCGAAAAAGCAGCGTCCTCAACATGCAAGCTTGGTAGATCTTCACCTTGATACAGTGGTACCTCGGGTTACAGACGCTTCAGGTTACAGACTCCTCTAACCCAGAAATAGTACCTTGGGTTAAGAACTTTGCTTCAGGATGAGAACAGAAATCGTGTGGTGGCGACAGTGGGAGGCCCCATTAGCTAAAGTGGTACCTCAGGTTAAGAACAGTTTCAGGTTAAGAATGGACCTCCAGAACTACTTAAGTTCTTAACCCAAGGTACCACTGTATTGCATGTTAGCATCACATTCTCCCATACTGTTTTGGAGAGGAGAGCCATTGCTGTAGCTGCCTTGCCAATACACTTGTCCAGGTCACTGTTGATGGAAGTGATGCTGGTTATGG